GTGTTGTTAAGAGTCAACTCTCTTAACCAGCACACACACTGCCTCCCCATAAGAACTTTCCAAGGGTTACTCAACTTATCAGTACTGGAGCCAGGATTCAAAGTAAAGTCTTTCTGGCTCCAGCCTGCTCTTTCTGCTTTGCCTTACCCTCTTTCAAGGCCCAGTGAGAAGATGAAAGGCAGCCTCCCGAGAGCTAAGAGGCAGGCAACTATGCTATAGATTGCTAAGTCCTTTCCCAGAAGAAGAAGCTAAGATCCTCAACATTCGTTCCACATTTTACATTTACAAAACACTTTCAAATATTCAATACTTTCAATGCTCACAATAGCCCTTAAAAGCATAAATTCCTTTCTTTTTCTTTCCTGTTTCAAGTGGTTTACTATTTAGAAACTTTAGAAAGTCCAAATGTCTATATGCAGAACATCAAATACTATTGAGTATAACAGCTATATGTAAACATTTTTATTTGTAATTTAATTGTAAAATACATTTTATTGTATATATTTAAGGTATACAGCATGATGTTATGGATACATATAGATGGTAAAAAATAGTCTCTATAGTGAAGAAAATATACATATTTACCATTTCACATAGTTATCTGTGTGTGTATGTGTTTGTGTGGCAAGAGCCAGTAAAATCCACTCCTTCAGCATGAATCTCAAATACAGTACGCTTTTATTAGCTGAAGTCATCACGTCGTACAATTGTCTGTAGAATTGTCCGTTCTACATATCTGTTATTTTGTATTCTCTGACATACATCTCCCATTTCCTCCCCTTCTCCTCCCCCTGTAACAACTTTTCTGTTCTCTATCTCTGTATATTTGAATTCTTTAAGATTCCACATACAAGTGAGAATATACAATATTTCTCTTTCTGTTCCTGGTTTATTTCACTTAGTACAATGTCCTCCAGGCTCATCCATGTTGTGGCAAATAGCAAGATCTCATTATTTTAAGGCTTAATAATTTTCATTGTGTATATATACTACATTTTCTTTAGTATACTACATATACTACATTTGTATATATGTAGTATATGTAGCATATATGTAGTATATGTAGTATACTACATATACTACATTTGTCCATCAGTGGACACTTAGGTTGTTTTCATATCTTGACTATTGCAAATAGTGCTGATATTTTTGTGAGGTGATGATTTTATTTCTTTTGGGTATTGCCCAAAAGAGGGAATGCTGGGTCATATGGTAGCTCTGTTTTTAATAATGGCTGTAGCAATTGACAGTCATGTTACATTCGAGATTCACAAGGCCGCAGGACAGAGAGACAGAGTCACCGAGGCTGTAATTACCAAAAGGAGTTTTATTGTCTAGCTCGAGCTAGGGTCCAAGCCCCCAGAGTGCCAGCGCAGTGACCTCTTCTCCGGCAGGACCCTCCTGTGTGTTAGTCCCTTTTATAACTTAGTTTTTACACCTGGTCATGCATCCACCCCCATAGTGATTTTTACTTCAGCCTGCCCCTGATAGGCCCTAACCTGTTCGGGTCCTAGCTGAGAGACTCAGGTTTCCGTCTTCTTTGTCTTTTTTCCTCTGCATCCCATAATATACTCATAATGCCTTGCGGTTAGCAAACAAGCAGTAAACAGAAGCTGGAAGGTGTCTATTGTCTTTATAGCCCAATATCTTACAGTCCCACCAACAGTGTACAAGAATTCCTTTTTCTTTGCCAACATTGTTTGTCTTTTGACTTTTTGATAATACTGATCTTAATGAGTATGAAATGGTATCTCGTAGTTTTTTGGATTTGCATTTCCCTAATGATAAATCATGTTGAACACCTTTTCATAAATCTGTTGGCAATTTTTATGTCTCTGAAGAAATGTCTATTGAGATCTTTTGGCTATTTTTAATTGGGTTATTTGTTTTTCTGCTATTGAGTTATATGAATTCTTATATTTTTTGGATATTAACCCCTCATCAAATACATGGTTTGCAAATATTTTTTCCCAATCCATAGGCTGCTGTTTCATTTTGTGGTTGTTATTTTTGCTGTGCAGATGTTTTTTAGTTTGATATAGTCTCATTTATTTTTACTTTTGTGGCCTGAACTTTTGGTGTGCTATCCAAAATATCATTGTGAAGGTCAACGTCCAGGAGCTTTTTCTCTATGTTGTCTTCTGGGAGTTTTATAGTTTCTGGTCTTACATTTAGGTATTTTGCTCAGTTTGAGTTGGTTTTTTTGTATGGTATAAGATAAGGGTCTAATTTCATTATTTTGCATGTGGCAATCCAGTTCTCCCAGCCCCATTTATTCAAAATACTATTCTTTCTCCAGTGTGTCCTCTTGGTGCCCTTGTCAAAATTTAGTTGATGATATATATTTGGATTTCTGGGCTCTCTATTCTATTCTATTGCTCTAGATTTCTGTTTTTATGCCAATACTATGCTGTTTTGATTACTCTAGCCTTGTAGTATAGTTTTAAATCAGCATAATGCCTCCAGCTTTGTTCTTTTTGCTCAAGATAGTTTTGGCTATTCAGAGTCTTTTATCTTTCTATACAAATTTAAGGATTATTGTTTCTATTTCTGTGAAGATTGTCATTGGGAGTTTGACAGGGATTGCACTGAATCTCTATATTGCTTTCAGTAGTATGGACATTTAAAAAATATTAATAATTCTAATCCACAAGCATAGGATAATCTTTCTATTTATTTGTATCTTTTCCAAGTTCTTTCATCAGAGTTTTATAGTTTTTAGTGTGCAGATCCTTTGCCTTTTTGGTTAAGTTTATTCCCAAGAATTTTTTTGTGTGCTATCATAAATGGGATATTTTTAAAAATTTCTTTTTTGGTTAGGTTGTTATTTATGTATAACAATGCTACTGATTTTTTTCTAAGTTGATTTTGTATCCTGCAACTTTACTGAATTCATGTATTAATCCTAGTCTTTGTGTTGTGTGTGTGTGTGTGTGTGTGTGTGTGAAATCTTTGGGGTTTTTACATATAGGATCGTGTCATCTGCAAATAGAGATAATTTCACTTCCTCTTTTCTGATTTGGATACCTTCTATTTCTTTTTCTGGCCTGATTGCTCTTGCCAGTATGTGCAGTAATATGCTGAATAGAAGTTGCAAAAGTGGGCATCCTTGCCTTGCACTAGATCTTAGTGGAGAAGCTTTTAGCTTTTCTCCATTGGTTATAAGGTTAGCTGTGGGAATTTTTTTTTTATAATAAACATTGAGGAACTTTCCTTCCACAACTAAATTATTGAGAAATTTTTATCATGAAAGAATGTTAGACTTTGTTGAATGCTTCTTCCATGTCAATTGAGATGACCGTGTGGTTATCTTTCAATTAATATATCACCTTGATTGATGTATGTTAAACCAGGGATAAATCCTACTTAGTAATGATGCATAATATTTTTAATGTGTTGTTGTATTCAGTTTGCTAATATTTATTTTATCGAGAATTTTTGCATCATTGTTCATCAAATAAATTATCCTAGAGTTTTCTTTTCTTGTAATGTCTTTGGCTTAGGTACCGAGGTGATGCTGGCCTCATAAAATGTGTTTGGAAGTATTCCCTCTAGCTCTATTTTTTTTGAAGAGTTTAAGAAGTATTGGTATTAATTCTTTTTTGAATGTTCAGTAGAATTCAGTGGTAAAACCATCTGGTCCTGAGCTTTTCTTTGTTTGGAGGTTTTTGCTTATTTATCAATCTATTTGTTATTGTTTTTTTCAGGGTTTTTATTTCTGCCTGATTCAATTTTGGTAGGTTGTATTTTTCTAGGAATTCATCCATTTCCTCTAAGGTATCCAATTCGATGGCATATAATTGTTCATAATAGCCTGTTATAATCTTTTTTATTTCTGAGGTGTCTATTGTAATTTCTTATCTTTCACTTTTTATTTTATTTAAGTTTTATCTTTTTTTTCTTTAGTTGGACTAGCTAAGGGTTTGTTCATTCTGTTTTGTTTTCTTTTAAAATGCAACTCTTAGCTTTATTGATTCTATGGTTGTTCTCTGATTTGTTTTCTGTTTTGACTTATATTATTTTATTCTTTCTGCTAATTTGGGGTTTAGTTTGTTCTTTTTATAGTTCTTTGAGGATTAATGTTAGACTATTTATTTAGTATCCTTTTCATTTTTAATGTAGCCATTATTGTTATAAACTTCCCTCATAATTGTTTTTGCTGCATCCCATAGGTTTTGATACGTTGTGTTTCCATTGTTGTTTGTCTCAAGATTTTTAAAAAATTTTCTCTTTTGATTTCTTCTTTGAACTATTGTTTGTTCAGGAGCATGTTGTTTAATTTCCTCATATTTGTAAATTTTCCAAGATTCCTTCTGTTTTTGATTTCTAGTTTCATATCATTGTGGTTTGAATTGATATTAGATATGATTTTAATCTTCTTAAATTTGTTAAGACTTGTTTTGTGGCCTAACATATGGTCTATTCTGGAATATTCCATGTGCCTAGAGAAAAATGTATATTCTACTGCTGTTAGATGGAAAGTTCTTTATATGTCTATTAGGTCTATTTGGTCAAAAGTGCAATTGAAGTCTAGTATTTCCTTATTAACTTTCTGTCTGGTCGATCTATCCATTGTTGAAAGCATGAACTCTTATTTCCATTTAGATTTGAGGAAGCCATGCCCCATGTTTCAGATAATTTGCCCAAAGTCATGGGATTCAAATCTAATCCTCATCTGGCTTTAAATTCTTTAGCTTTTCCAGCACACAATTCTATATAAGCATTTTCCCCTTTAGGAAGTTTTCTCCTCTCCTCCGAAATGAATCAAAAAATTATTGTACCTTTTGTGAATGTGGATGTGATATTGGCACAAGTATAAACACTTTTTCAACTATAGCACTGTCATTTGGACTTGTCTTGGCAGAGCAGATCTTTGACCCTTCTGTGAGCTATGTCGTTATGTCCAATACTGTATGCAATGGATATGTAAATGCATATACAATACAGTGTCTGCACAATAATGATTTATTTCACTCTTATTTGAATTCTCCTTTTGCTAGGACTGCTGTACATGCTGCTTCCTGCAGACTTTCACAGAAGATGGACAAACAAATGCACCCGACTGCGTGCTTTCCTCTGTGAGGGTGCCCAGTGGTGATGCTCATCCCTTTGCACTTCCCAGGCTTTCTCAGGTGAGCGGGAGCGCTGTCCCAGGCGTAGACTTTCGCTTTCATGCTCCTGTGGTGAATGCCTGAGCCATCATTTTCCTGCCTGACATAAGGGCTTCCCGTGTCTCCTGCAATCTGTTTTGCATACATTTCCTTCAACTCTTACAACTTACTTAAAAGATACATTTTACTTGATAATATATAGAATAATATGATGCAGTTTTCCCAGTTCAACAGCCCTCAGGAGGAAAAACAAAACAAAACAAAACAAATAACAAGAGCAATAACAAAAACAGCCAGGATGGTGATCAAACCATTGAAACATTAAAAAGGGAATTGGAAACACATTAATTCAGACAAAGGAAAAACAAAGTGTGCTTACCCCAGAGAATGAATGGGACTTCCAAGTAGAGAGAATCTCCCTGTGCCTCAAATGGATATCTTTGGATATCTTTTATCCAAAGACAAAACTTTAAGGTGAAGTAAACTCTATAAGTCAGGAAAATCGCTAGAAATTGGTGTCATTTGATACTTAACCTCTGCCTTGTGATAAGAGAAAGATATATAGGTTACTATTCTAAATATAGCTTAGCAATTTGTTTTTCAATGTTGGTATCATCTTTTCACTTTATAGTAACACCCAAATGAAGGATGAAACAATTTTCATAAAGAAATAATATGAGTTCCAAATTTTTACTACAACTTAGATGATTGTAATATAATAACAATGACATATGAAATATGCTTTATTTCACATATCTATAATATGGTTTCACATACACTTGCAGAATAATATTTATATAGTTTTTCTTTTTAGTAAAATATATTTTGGTTCTTGAAGATTTTGAGAACAAAGTATTTAAGAAAAGTTAAATTCTGAGAAATTAAGATAAGTTTAAAAGTTAGCAACAGCTATTCAGTGTCTGTAAATTATGAATATTTTATGTATTAATAATTTAGTTATTTATTGAAACTAAACTTTGTGCCACATACTGTATTTGCTGCTAAGCATACAGATATAGGAGCTTGAACCAAAATTGCTGCTTTTGTGAGTTAAAAACAGTTAATAGCAATTTAAACAGCCATTTACCATGATTTAAACCTAAGTTAAATGTAATCCTTGTCCTTGTGGGCATCAGTCTGATAAGGAAGACAGGCTCATAAATAAATATGTGAAAGTGCAGGGTGAGTAATTAGAGGGGATTTCTAATGGTAGGTTAGATTTTTCAAAAAGTAGGAGTAGCATGGCTGGTATGGTGACAGATGGAGTAGGTTGCAATGGATTAGAACATTTAATAGGAGTTAAAGGAGTGGAGACAGGAAACTCAATACATCACTTTTAAAAGTTTGGCTGTGAAGCTGACAGCATCAATTGTATGTGGGTGTGGTTCTGGAAGTATTTGCGCGCGCGTGTGTGTGTGTGTGTGTGTGTGTGTGTGTGTGTGTGTGTGTCTCGTGGGAGAGGGATGTTTATGTGCTAAGAGCAAGGGGTCGGGAGAGAGGTTCTGAGAATGACCCTGCAGAGGCTGGACAGGAGAGTTTCTGGTACTGAGCATTTATTTGAATCACACAATTCTAAGTGCTGTGCACATGACTTAAGTAGGAGGCACACGACAAATGTTCTTTGAACTGAAATAAAAACAATGCTAGATTTTTCTATCCAATTTTTGGTGGCGTCTTGTTCTTCTCTAGGGAACATAGTTGATGAGAGCCAATTCTGGGGAAAAGTTTTGAAATTTCACTTTTAAATGCTTTAAGTAAATAATGTTATGAGGAACGGAAAAAGAAAAGAAGAGGAAACAGATATTTAGAAAAATTTTGAGAAGAGCCCAAAGCTTAGTGAAAAAGAACAATTTAGGGTAGAAGCAGAAAAGAGAGCTGACTCGTACATAGAGAAAATGAGACATGTATAAGAAGGATTAAGGAATGAAAACATGGATGAGAAAAAGATATTGCTGATGGAAAAAAATATGAAAATGAGAGAGGCTTTTTGAAGCTCAGAGGAAAGGCAGCTAGAAAACCATCAGGCCCCATTGACAGAAAGAATGTTGGTATCAGTTGCCGGATGGAACACAACGGCTGTCCCTTTGTCTGACAGAAAGCTTCTCTGTGTAATCTGCAAATGGAGAATTCACAAATGGTGGTGGTGCACTGTGCTCTGCTGAGGCACATCTAGAAGAAGGGCCACAGTGAGAATGAGTTTTAGGGTCAAAGAATCCTATTTTCTAAATGACTAGTGAGAGAGAGAAAGAAAGAGAGAATCAGTCTTAGTCCATTTTGTGTTACTATAACAGAGTAACAGATTGGGTCATTTATAAAGTAAAGAAAAGGAAAGAGATTTATTCCTGACAACCTGGAGGCTGGGAAGTCCAATGTCAAGGTGCCTTCATGCCTGGTGGCCCCGTGGTGGAAGGTGGAAGGCGAGAGAGCGTGCACCAGGGACAGCTCGAGAACAAGAGAGGGCTGAACTCACTTTTGTAACAAGCCCACTCTCGTGATAACCAGCCCATTCCCACGATCACGACATTAATCCATACGCTGTCTCTTATTAGGCCCCATCTCCCAACGCTGTTGCTTTGCGGACTATGTTTTCAACTCGGGGACTTTGATGGATACATTCATACAATAGCAGAGAGAGAGGGGGAACCTGGACAGTTAAGAAATAGAAACTTCTCTAAAATTAATTTCTACAGTTAAAGTAAAATAAAAATTTGGGATGGGTCAAAATGCGCACCCTGCACAGTTGCCTGCATGAGAACACACGGAGGGTGGGCCAGTACCCTCAGCACCAGTACTTCCCTGTCATAACGCGCTACTTAAGCAATCAATAGACAAATAGGAAGACCTTAATGAGTTAGCATATTATTGGCATAATGCAGTGGCTGCCTGCAAGGCGACTTTGAAAGGTAGTTGGAAATTTGAAGTGGTTGTTTTTTTTTTTTTAAAGGCCACTCTGCTTTTTGGCAACTACTCACTGACAGCATGTTACTTTTGCTTTCTTTGTCAAGCACAGAAAAATAAGAAGCACAAAATCAATTTGGACAGGGGGTGGTGGTGCAGAGAGAGCTGGCGGAGACGCAGGCTGTGTCTAGCAGTAAGGTCTGATCCACATTGAGCGACAAGAGATCACTTTGTACCAGGCCTGGGGCTCCCGCTGGGCTGCTCCTTCAAGCATTTTTGAACACTCCAAGAAATCCTTCTGTACATGTGGGGTTTCTGACTCTCTCCCTGCGACCTGGCTGGCTTCTTTTCTTTTCTTTTCTTTTTCTTCTTTTCTTTATTTAGATGTCTGCTGGGGTATAGAAGGCAGTGGAGTAAATGGGGAGCAAAAAGACTGCGTGGGTGTATTCCCAGTTTTGCAATGAATTAGCTATATGACCTTGATAAGATAAACTCCTCTGTCCATCTATGGGAGTACTGAAGAAGAAGGAAGTATTTCACACCTAAATTTCCAACCAAGGGAGATGCTGGGGGAAAACAGTGAAGGTAACCGGCAGGCTGCCTTGGGTCGTGGCCCACGAGAGACCCTGTGCCCAACATAGAGACTTTCAAATTCCATTAAAAAAAGTTATTTTCCAAGAGAAGATATGTCTGTTGGCTGCCAATTCTAGACTTCCAGGCCAGATGCTGTGTAAGGTCTTTTTTAGTTTTATGATTCGGGCCACCCTGGCACCAGAAAGTAGCACCAAAGGACATTGAAGGATGTGAAAATAGAGCAACTTGGCAAAGACTACTTAGCTATACATTATAAGAAAATCTTTAAGTGTGGGAAAAAAACTTGCTTAGTTAGACTAATTCTAAAACAAAAACTAAATGAATTCCAGTTTAATTAGGATTAAATTGGGGAGTAATAGATAGCTTTTCAGGAATTTTTAAATATACAAAAAATGTAGTGCTAGGAGAAGAATGTCTGTGAGATGATACCAGGGTGTGGAATCATTTATCATCTTCAGTGCAGCCAGGTATATACCTAACAGACAGCGCTTCCCTTAATGGCCACTCAGCAGGGACTCAGCCCATCCGTCTCCATTAAAGAGAAGAGGAAGTGTTTTATTTATAGAGTGACTAAAAGTGTCCATTTTTTGCTTTATCTGCGTTTTAAAATAACGAACACACACAGATGCATTGCTTCCCAAACTCTTCAGCCCAAGACTTTATTGATTATTCCCAGGTTAATGGGATAAGAACCTAGAAGGCGATGACCCAAATTATCACCGTGCAACAACAAAAAAGCACATACTCTTTAAAAGATCCCTTGATGCTAAAGCACAGGGTGTCGAGATAGATGGTGGGTTCCATAGAACATCAAAGCCAAAGTAGAAATTTTAAAAACATGTTTTGTTTTGAAATAATGATCAACTCATAGGAAATTACAAAGATAATACAGAGAGGACCTGTGTACTCTTCATTCGGTTTCCCTCGTTGGTTACTTTATACGTACAGTATCAAACTAGGAAACTGACATGGGTATGAAGGATGTGGGCAGTTCTGTTATGTTATCACATTTGGATCCTGTAATCACCTTCGCAGCCAAGATGCACAAAAATTCTATCCTTGGCGTTGCTTTGTAGTCACACCCCTGCAACCTTCCCACCCCTCCCATGCCCTAGCATTTTGTTCTCCATCTTTGTAATAAATTTTGTCATTGTAAGAATGTTATTTAATAGAATCATATGGTAAATATGCATCTTTTTTATTTTGGATTTTTTTGTTTGTTTTTACTTGGCATAATATTCTTGAGATCTATCCAAGCTGCTTAATCCCTTTTTATTTTTTGTCAATCCTTTTCTATTGCTGAGTAGTATTTCCTAACATAGGTTTGCTTAACTGTTATTGGTCATTTTTCTTATTTCCAGCTTGGGGCTATTTCAAATAAATCTACTATGAACAATCATATATGGGTTTTTGTATGACATGAATTTTTATTTCTCTTTGATAAATGCCCTAAAGGGCAATTATTGGGTCATATGTTAAGTGTGTGTTTAGTTTTTGTAAGAAACTGTCAAACTAATTTTTAACACGAC